CCCCGGCCCCCCCTCTGCTTAAGATCATGGAGTCGCCCGGGCGCCAGGCCGCCGAGGCGGAGGTCGGCCCCGCCGAGGTCCTCCAGCTTCGCGCCCAGATCCTGGCCTTCCGGTACCTGGACAGCGACTTGCCCGTGCCGGCGGAGGTCCTGGCCGCGGCGCTCGGGCCGCCTGACACCCGGGCCGCCTGCGCGCACGAACAGGCGGAAGAGCAGGAGGACCCGCTGCTGGACCCGCTGCTGGTGGCGCTGCGCTCGCCGCTGGCCAGCGGGGACATCGCCGCGCAGCTGGACTTCCGGGCAGCCTTCCTCCGGTCCCGGGCTCAGGAGCGCCTGGCCCTGCTCGGGGATCTGACCGCGTCGGACCTCGGAACCGGGCACCTGGGCGAGGGGGGCTCGCTCAAGGTCCAGGCCATGTCCGAGCTGCGGGCCCTGCGCCTGGTGGACCTCCAGCGTGAGGTACGTGCCTCTCGGTCCTCCTCGCGCCGTTCTCCGGACCCTCCGACCATCGGGTCGCGTGGGAAGCCCCCGCCCCGACTTACATCATGTGTGTGTGTGTGTGTGTGTGTGTGTGTGTGTGCATGTGTATGTGTACCCGCCCTCTCCGTGTACCTCTCCTCGTGGGCAGCTCAAGGACCGAATCGTGCGCATGCAAGACCCATCCACGGCCGTGGACCGCATGCTGACGGCCGGGGCAGCCACCTACACCCGCGCGGCCACCCTCCCGGCGGCCGGGGCCGGGTCACTTGCCGACATGAGCATCACCGAGCGCCTGGAGCGACAGCAGCAGGTGCGCTTCCCCCCCTGGCGAATGGCCCCCCTCCCCCCGCCCCCCTTCCCCTTGTCATCCTCGCGTGCGGCCGCCTCGTACTAACGCATGCGTGCGCGCGGCCACCGGTTTGGCCACGTACACACACACACATACACGCATCCCTTCGCATCGCTCTCCGCTCTGCTCCGCTTGCCAGGTGGATCGGCAAATCCGCGAGGAGCGTGACCGGCTTCGCCAGCGGGCCTCCGTGGCCAGCCTGGTCGATCACTCACAGGCATTCTTCCGCTCGCATGCGTCCTCCTCCCGGCGACTATCCATGTACGTGCCCTGCCCTGCGGCCTGCTTGTCCCGGGTGTGCGGGTCCCCCCTCGGGGCGGCCCGCCCCCGCCCTCCCCCCCTGTGTGACACTCTGACCGCTGTCCGCCCTCCCGGGTCTCTTCCTCTCGCCATCTCGGCGTCCCCGACTCCCTCTTTCTTCGTCCCCCCCCCCCCCCCCCCCCGGCACGCAGGCTCGGGCGGTCGGTGGTCCAGTTCCATGCGACGCAGCAGCGCGACGAGGAGCGCCGGCAGGACCGCGTACGCCGCGACATGGTCCGCTTCTTGAAGTACGTCTCCGCATGCTGGCGCTGCATTGCGCGCCTGGCCCTGTTCTCTCGGCTCCTTGTGCTGGCGTGATGCTGACCCGGTCCGCAGGGAAAACAACGAGGCGGAGTTCCGTGCGCTGGTCCGGTCGGCCAAGAACGCGCGTGTGTCCTACCTGCTGGAGCAGACGGATCTCTTCCTGGAGAACCTGCGCGGCAAGGTCCTCGAGCAGAAGCAGGCCATCTCCACCGGCGGCCTGAGCGGGTCCACCTCGCAGGTCTTCGGCCAGACGACGCCGGCGGGGGATGCCGCCACGGCCGACGTGGCCCCGGCCGAGGGGGGCACCGATGACTTTTACCAAATCGCACACTCCATCCTGGAGCCGATCACCGAGCAGCCGGGCATCCTGGTGGGCGGCCAACTGAAGGAGTACCAAATCAAGGGTGCGTCGGGGTGCGGCCCCCCTCCCCCCTTCCCCCCCCCCCGCCCCGAACCCGGGCAGGGGGCAGGGCGCCGCCATGCCGTCCTTTTGCCAACATTTGCCTCACCTGCCCGGCGGGCATTCTCACATCCGCCTTCGTGCCGGTGTCGGGCACGCGCACGCCAGGCCTCCAATGGATGGTGTCGCTCTACAACAACAACCTCAATGGCATCCTGGCCGATGAGATGGGCCTCGGCAAGACCATCCAAACGATCTCCCTCATTTCGTACCTCATGGAGAAGAAGAACCTCATGGGGCCGTACCTGATTTTGGCCCCCCTGTCCACCCTGAGCAACTGGCGGCTTGAGTTCGACCGGTGGCTGCCGTCGGCCAACCTGGTGCGTTGGCGCCACCCTGTGGCTTGAGTGCACATTTGGCATCGATGCGTGCCTGACTGACACTGGGTGCGGCCTTCTGTGGCTCCTCGCTGGCGGTGTGCATGTTCATGTGCATACACGTGTATGGACATGCGCATGTCCATCGGCATGTGTGTGCATGCGCATGTCCATCTGCATGTGTGTGCATGCGCATGTCCATCTGCATGTGTGTACATGCACACACACACACACAAACGCCCACGACCGACGTAGATTGTGTACATGGGCGGGCGCGACGTGCGCCGCCAGCACCACGCCGCCATCCGCAGCGGGGACTTCCACGTCCTGCTGACCACCTATGAGTATGTCATCCGAGATGTGGGGATCCTGTCGCGGCCGCGCTGGTCGTACATGATCATCGACGAGGGCCACCGGATCAAGTCCCGGTCATCCAAGCTGAATGTCACCCTGGCCAAGCATTACCCGGCGCCGCACCGGCTGCTGCTGACCGGCACGCCGCTGCAAAATAACCTGCCGGAGCTTTGGGCGCTGTTGAATTTCCTGCTGCCGGTGGTCTTCGGGTCGCTGTCCTCCTTCGATGAGTGGTTCAATGCGCCGTTCTCCGGGCACCCGTCGGCCGCGGCCACCGGGGCCACGGCCGGCCTGTCGAGTTCGGCACTGGCCGTGGCGCGCGGCGAGAAGCTCGAGCTTTCCGAAGAGGAGTCGCTGCTGGTCATCCGCCGGCTGCACAAAATCCTGGAGCCCTTCATGTTGCGGCGGCTGAAGAAGGATGTTGAGCTTGCCCTGCCGGACAAGGTGGAGCGCATTGTCCGCTGTGGCATGAGTGGCATCCAGCAGATGCTCTACCGCGTCATGAAGAAGAGCGGGTGCGTAAAAGCAGTCGAGTGTGTTGGTGTGCGGGCGCCGGGTCCCGCTTCTGTTGCTGACATGCCCTTTGATCTCTCCCTCTCTCCCCCTCTCTCTCTTCATTGTTTTGTCCTTCTCTCTGTGTATTTTTATCTGTCTGTCTATCTTTTCCCCTTGCGCTGTCTGTCTCCCTTGCCTCTCCCCTGCGCTGTCTATCTCCCTTGCCTCTCCCTTGCGCTGTCTGTC